ACAGTCGTATAAACCTCAGTCCCCAGTAACACCACTTCCGTAACGGCTAGTGTGACGGGTGACTGTTACGACGACGCTTCCTCTTTTTGGACTGTTAGACTGTTACATTGACTGGTGACTGGATGGCACTGTTATATTATTGTATTATATAATGATTAATAAGAGACACGTGCAGGTAAGTGGGTAATGATACGGATGGTTTTGGCACGAAGGTAAATAATAGAATTTGTTTTGTTGACGTTCGTGAGTCATGAATCCAGGGCTAAGTAGGATCTAGTTACGTTCGTGAGTCGGGGATCCGGTGTTAGTATGGATAGTTCATTAAATAAATTGGTTCACCTGAAGAGTAGGTTAGGTTAGGTTAGGTTAGGCGGACTCTTGACAAAGTTTGAAGACAATTCCTTCATCAGTTCCTGAGACTAAACCATCTGTGCCTTCACCGGAGGGGGGGGGGGTGTTAGAGATGGCAGGGGAGTGCTGTTGAGGGCTACAGGAGGGCTGGGGAGGCCTAGGAGAGAGCAGTGGAAGGCTAGTGAGGGCTGGTAAGTGCTAGGGAGACCTGGTAAGGGCTGGGGAGGGCATCTAAGGGCTCGTTAAGTTTTCTAGGGGATGATAAGGGCTTTTGAGGACTAGGGAGGGCTGATAAGGACTAGGGAGGGCTGGTAAGGGTTAGGGAGGGCTGGCAAGGGCTAAGATATGTTTCTAAAGGCTGGTAAGGACTAGGGAGGGCTGGTAAGGGCCAGGGAAGGGTTCTAAGGGCTGGGGCGGGATAGGAAGTGACATAAGCACACACTGCATTTTTCAACCCTTCACGAGCAGGTCACATCATGATCCCTTATCACCGAATACTTATCTCTCTTATCTACTGAGTGAGTCCTATGTCTGTAACGATGTACTAAAGAGAGTACATCTTCCTTATTTGTACTTATTTTGGTGCATTACAATGTTGATGTCATGAGTACGATGGCAGCCATTTGAATATGCAATTGAGGTAACCTAATGAGTACTTCTGAACCCCTTGAGTACGATAACAACCCCTGTAAGTACAAAAAAGTACCGTTGAATAAAATATTAATGTCCATAAGTGGTTTAAAATGTATTCAATGACTTAAATCACTGTACTCAATGGGACAAAATTATTGTAATCAGGGCTAGCATCGTACTCGAGGACTGACAATAGCGAGGACACCCCAACGAGCTGTAAACACCACACACCACACAACACACACCACACCACAACACAACACACAACACACCACACAACACAACACAACACACTACACAACACACCACACACCACACAACACAACACACTACACAACACACAACACAACACAACACACTACACAACACACCACACACCACACAACACAACACACTACACAACACACAACACAACACAACACACTACACAACACACCACGTTAGGGACCATTAGGGACCACTAGAGGGACCACCATGGTTCACAGAGAGGGCGTGGGGGGGGCGTGGGCGCGGGCGGGCAGGCTGGTAGAGGTGGTGTGTTGCGTCAATATTGGCAGCATCGACCATAAGGCACCAGCAGCTGTAGACTTCCCACGTCTTCACCCACGCCACTATGACCCTTATATTCCCCTAACCATAAGGACTAGATTACCTCAACGCCTTCTCCAGAGTCCATTCTACCCACGAGTATACCATTATAACCCTTAACCATGACTATTTTAAGGACTATTATCTGAACTATGTCTCATACTTACACCTTGAACACCCTACAGGGCATTATCACCCTTAGATTATAGATGCTATAAGGGTTATATTCGAAAGTGTAAGGGATTATTTTATCATCAAAGGGAAGGGTGTCAGCCACTTTCACCCTTAAGTGTCAGCTACATAAGGGTGAGTGTCAGCTTGAGGGGTTGTCAGTCCTGCTCTCAGCTGACAATTTGAGACAATTTGCCGGTACTGATGATATGGCGGAGTTAAGTGACGTCATCCGGGCTTACCTTAATGAGAGGTGAGGAGAGAAGTGAGGGGACAGTGAGAGGTGAGGGGAGAAGTGAGGGGATAGTGAGAGGTGAGGGGAGAAGTGAGGGGATAGTGAGAGGTGAGGGGAGAGAAGTGAGGTAAGGAGAGAAGTGAGGTGATAATGAGAGATGAGGGGAGAGAAGTGAGGTGAGGGAGAGGAGGGGAGAAGTGAGGGGAAGGTGAGAAGTGAGGGGATAGTGAGAGGTGAGGGGAGAGAAGTGAGGGGTGGGGAGAGAAGTGAGGGGATAGGTGAGAGAGTGAGGGGAGAGAGGTGAGGGGAGAGAAGTGAGGTGATAGAGAGGTGAGGGGAGAGAAGAGGGGTGAGGGAAGAGAAGTGAGGGATAGGAGAAGTGAGGGGATAGTGAGAGGTGAGGGGAGAGAAGTGAGGGGGGGGGAAGAGAAGTGAGGGGATAGTGAAAAGTGAAGGGATAGTGAGAGGTGAGGGGGAGTGAGAGGAGGAGAAGTGAGGGGTGGGGAAGAGTGAGGAAGTGATAGGGAGAGGTGAGTGAAGAGAAGTGAGGGATAGTGAAGTGAAGGGATAGTGAGAGGTGAGGGGAGAGAAGTGAGGTGATAGTGAGAGGTGAGGGAGAGAAGTGAGGGGTGAGGGAAGAGAAGTGAGGGATAGTGAGAAGTGAGGGGATAGTGAGAGGTGAGGGGAGAAGTGAGGAGATAGTGGAGGAGTGAGGGATAGTGAGAGTGTGAGAGGTGAGGGGAGAAGTAGTGATAGTGAGAGGTGAGGGGATAGTGAGAGGTGAGGGGATAGTGAGAGGTGAGGGGATAGTGAGAGGTGAGGGGATAGTGAGAGGTGAGGGGAGAGAAGTGAGGTAAGGAGAGAAGTGAGGGGATAGTGAGAGGTGAGGGGAGAGAAGTGAGGTAAGGAGAGAAGTGAGGTGAGGAGAGAAGTGAGGGGAGAGGTGAAGGGTGAGAGGTTAGGGGACCACAATAGCAGTCATCGCCAACATCAAATATTCATTAGCGCGTCACGGGTGGTTGAGCCTCCGCTGGGGTGTCACGTGTCATTGTTCCAGTCAACAGTTAACAGTTACCTGGCGTGGGGGGGGGGGAGTGCCAGGAGAGTCACCAAGGCATCAGGAGAGTCACCAAGGCATCAGGAGAGTCACCAAGACACCAAGATCGTCATTATCAGGAGCCAGACGCGTGTCTCTCACCAGATTAGATCAAGAGACTTTGGGTGGTCAGGCAACAGCTGGTCAGGCACACGGTTCTCCCAGTTCTCTCTCTCACCTTGTGCACCTAGCAGCCTCACCTAGCAGTCTCCTACCTCACCTAGCAGCTTCCTACCTCACCTAGCAGTCTCCTACACTACCTGGCAGCTTCCTTCCTCACCTAGCAGTCTCCTACACTACCTAGCAGCTTCCTACCTCACCTAGCAGTCTCCTACCTCACCCAGCAGTCTTAATTAGCAGTCCTTACCTTACCTGCACCTGAACCTGTACCTGTAACCTGTACCTGTAACCTGCACCTGTGACCCCGTGATCTGCGTGACCTACACAACCTGTACTTTGAAGGTTAATTTAGTGAATCATTAATTGCATTACAACCTGTGTGTGTGTGTTTGTGTTAATAACTCGTATCATTGTCTCATAGTTGGATGATCGTCATACTCGATTCCCAGTGACAGCAAAGTAGTAGTAGTAGTAGTAGTGGTAGTGTGTGTGTGTGTGTGTGTGTGTGTGTGTGTCGGGGAAGAATTGTATATTACGTTGACTCGGTAACTTGATCTAACCCGGGGTGACCTGTGATGACCAGTAGTTACCTGTGGTGACCTATAATGAACTGTGGTGAGTAAAAGTAATCCCTGGTAACATATGGTGACCTATAATAGTGATTTGTGCTAACTTATTAAGTATTTTGGTGACCTAAAGTGATTTCTAATGACCTGTCAGTAACTCTAGTGACCTGTACCAACAGATGGAGCGTGGGGAGGCGGCGTGTCGTGTGTGTGGAGACAAGGCGTCGGGTAAACATTACGGTGTGCCCTCCTGTGACGGCTGCCGGGGCTTCTTCAAGAGATCCATACGTCGGTACAGGAACAAGTGAGTTATCTCTCTCTCTCTCTCTCTCTCTCTCTCTCACTGGTCCCTTTGCTACAATGTCTCTTCTGTTGTTACCGTTGTTCCTCCCCCAACAGGACTCTATAAGGAGATCTTGCCCATAATATTATTGAGAACCTGTTAGACTATTGTTAGTATCAGTTCCCTGTTACTACACTGTTAATATCATAATCTTCGTTAATATCACATTCATCAGTTGCCCGCCTTTGTTTCTTACTGTTGCTGTTGCTCCCCCAACAGGACGCTAGACTATGTGTGTAAGGAGGCCGGGACGTGTGTGGTGGACGTGACCAGGAGAAACCAGTGTCAAGCTTGTCGCTTTAAGAAATGTCTTGACGTTAACATGAAGAAAGATGGTACGTATGTGTGTGCGCGCGCGCGCGTGTGTGTGTGTGTGTGTGTGTGTGTGTGTGTGTGTGTGTGCATCTGATCCGATGCTGAATTTCTTCATCGATGTTCGCGGTGGTGGACAGGTGGGATCCGAGATACTGAAGCCTTTGGCAGACTCCGTACCCGTGTCTTCAGCTGTAGGAAGTTGAAATTATCTACAAAGTTGCCCATATATCGAGCAATGGTCCTCCCCACCCAGCTATATGGCAGCGAGACATGGGTCACATACAGGAGGCACCTCAAGGCACTTGAAAACTTTCACCAACGTAGTCTCTACGTTCCATCCTCCGAGTTAACATAAGTCTAAGTAAATAACATCGTAATTTTCTTCATTATCTACTACGTCGAAGACTTTCCTAAAACACGTCAGCAGATTTGTTAGACAAGATTTTCCTTTGTAAACCCATGTTGAGAGTCGTAGACTAATTTGTTTTTCTCTAGATGTGATCGGATGCTATTTGCTATTATAGATTCAAGAAATTTCCCCACTACTGACGTCAAACTAATTGGCCGGTAATTTGACGCTGATGCTCTGTCTCCCTTTTTGAATATGGGTACTACATTTGCCTTTTTCCTCAAGTCTGGCACAACACTCATGTCAAATGATTTTGTAAATAAATTTACGAGGGATACGCTAATCTGTTCCTTACACTCTTTCAAAACTCAAGGGAAAATTTCATCCGGCCAAGGGGATTTTGTCTTCTTTAATTTATTTATCTTCTTAATAACATCCTCTTTTCTTATAGTGATATTCTTTAATTTTTCTTCATTTCCATTTAATATCAGTTCCACCTCTTGCATTTCCTCGTGAATTTCTTCTGTGAAAACTGATAAGAAGTAGCTGTTTAATGCTTTGCTTATTTTCTCACTATCATCGATCACTTCCCCCCTCTCTGTCTTTAAAGGCCCCCACTTTGTCCTTGACCTTTGTCCTATATACCTGGAAAAATCTCTTGGTATTCGCCTTGGATTCTCTTGCTATCATGACTTCGTAGTCCCTCATTGCCTTCCTTGCATTTTTCTTAACATTCCTAGATAGTTCATTATACCTATTTCTGAGCTGCTCCTCCCCTCCCTTTAATTTCTTATAAATTCCTTTCTTTATTCCTATGTCATGTTTAAGTTTTTTGGTCATCCACCTTGGCTCATTATTATTTGACCTAATTTTTCTGTATGGTATATTTTGTTCTTGTGGTTTACGTAGTATACTAGTGAATATAATATAGTCATGATCAATTGTTGTGTCGCCAGTGACCTCACCCGTTCCTACCGGGGACTGACCTGACTGTTCCCAGGCGACCTCACCTAGGTACCTTCTTAACCCCTCATAATCCGCCGATCGAAAGTCTGGGACTCTGACCATATTGTCATTGGGAAGACAAGAGAACAAATGCCAGTATTCTCACTGACACCAACTGCAGGAGCATCGAGGCTACCTTATCCATGAACAACTACGTTGAACTGGCCTTGTTACTCGCATGGACGACAGTAGACTGCCAAAGCAGCTACTTTACAGTCACCTAATGAATAGTAAACGTAACGCTGGCGGGCAACTGAAAAGGTGTAAGGATAGTCTTAAGACAAACATGAAAAAAGTGCCAAATCGACCCCGTCACCTGGGAGACGATTACTCCACACTGTAACGCTTGGAGGAGCACCACACGAGGTGTCAATACTTTTGTGTTACCCCGACTGCAAACCGAGGCAGACAAGCGCTAACGCCGGAAAGACACTACCGCTGCCCCTCCCGTACTAGATGTAGCCCTCCACATGTGCAACTTCTGTGAACGACCCTGCTGGTCCCGTATCGGCCTCTTTAGTCACCACAAAACTCACCAACCTAGGTGACATCCTTAATAACTCATATCATTGTATCATAGCTGGTATGATCGCCATAATCAATTCCGAGTGACAGCAAAGTGGTAGTATAAGTGTGTGTGTGTGTGTGTAGTTATCACACACACACACACACACACACACACTCTCTCTCTCTGAAATGAAGTATAATATGTGAGCTGTGTAAGGAGAGGAGAGGTGGGGAGGGGTGGGGAGGTGCAGGAGATCGGGAGGGGTGGGGGAAGGAAGGGAGTTGCAGCAGAGGAGGGGGTGGAGAGAGGAGAGGAGGTGCAGCAGGTGGGGAGGTGCAGCAGGGGGGAGGTGCAGCAAGTGGGGAGGGAGGGTGTAGGGAGGTGCAGCACGTGGTAGTCTTCCCACACACAAGGGGACGCAGGCAGTCAACAAGATATATCCATCACCCGTGCATAAGATAGTGGGCTCCTACCTGTTGGATCTGGGGCGGCCGTGATGGGGCAGGGCGGGGTAATTGGGACGTAGTGGGGTGGGGCAAGTTGGAGTAATGCCGGGCGGAGTGGGGCGGGGCAAGACGGGTGGGTGTGAGTGTAAATTGGGATAGTAGGTATAGACGGGGTGAGGTGAAGTGGGGCGGGGCGAGGCGGGGTGGGGTGGGGTCAGGTTATTGAAGTAGTTAGTAAGGGTGTCAGTAAGGGTCATTATCGTAGTGGGTAGTTGAGTAAGTCTATAATCAAGGAGTGATTATTAACTCGATCATTACACACACTATTACTGTAATGTTACACCCTCTAAGACCACCCTCCTACATTATAACACCCACCTACAGCCCTCTTTTGACCTTCCCTTCCTTAACCCTGACCCCCTTAACAACCCCTGACCCCCCTACGACCTTCCTTCCTTAACCCCTGACCCCTTAACACCCCCTACATTATAACACCCCTACATTTATAACACCCCTACATTATAACACCCCCGACCTTCCCTTCATAACCCCCCTACATTTATAACACCCCCTACATTGCCTTAACACCACCTACGACCCCCTTAGCACCCCCTAGGCCCCCTTAACACCCCCCTAGGCCCCCCTTAACACACTACCTACGACCCTTAACACACCACCTACGACCCCCCTTAACACCCCCTACATTTTATACTTACCCCCTACGACCCCCCTTAACACACCACCGGCCCCCTTAACACACCACCAGCCTATAACACACCTGACCCCCCTTAACACCCCATTTATAACACACCACCTACAGCCCCCTTAACACACCCTACAGCCCCCTTAACACCCCCGACCCCCCTTAACACCACCTACAGCCTTCCCTTCCCTTAACCCCCTACACCCCCTCGGCCCTCCTTAACAAGTGAGGGAAGATGAAAGACAGGGAGGAGATTCAGGAGGAAGGAGAGAGAAGAGGAGGAAGGAGAGAGAGGGAGGAAGGAGAGAAGAGGGAGGGAAGGAAGAGAGAGGGGAGGGAAGGAGAAGAGAAGAGGGGGGAGGGAAGGAGAGAGAAGAGGGCAGGAAGAGAGAGAGAGAGGGCGGGAAGGAGAGAGAGAATGTACATAAAAGGTGCATTAGCAACGTGTGTGTGACCACCCTTATGTTGTGGAGTGTTATCGTGTGTGTGTGTGTGTGTGTGTGTGTGTTATGCATAAGTAAGGCTAAAATACACATAATCATATACATAACTCTTCATACATCTACATAACTTTTATACATACACAAATATTCTCATACACATGTATAGAGAAACACGAGGACTTCACTTTTACTTCATTGTACGGCTGAGTGATGATATGAGGGCCTGTAACGCATACTGAAGGCCTGTAACTTAGAGTAAAGGTCGGTAACTCACACTGAAGGCCGGTAACTCACACTTAAGGCCGGTAACTCACACTGAAGGCCGGTAACTCACACTGAAGGCCGGTAACTCACACTGAAGGCCGGTAACTCACACTGAAGGCCGGTAACTTACACTAAAGATCGGTAACTCACACTAAAGGTCGGTAACTCACACTAAGATAACAGTGTGATATCGATGTGAATTTACGCACCTGTTCTCAATAACAAGATAACAAGGGTCGTGTGTGTGTGTGGTCATGACAGGTTGAGAGTCACGTGATGTTCTTTATGTGAATGTACCAGATGAAGTGAAGGGTCCTCTCTCTCTCTCTCTCTCTCTCTCTCTCTCTCTCTCTCTTTGTACATACTACCATTATAATTTTCATAGTTATAAAAACTATTACCTAACCTAACCTGATATTGAAAATTTTTCAAAATTGACAGTAATTTATGACACCAAATTACCATAAATTTCTCTAATGGCCTTTGTGTAACAAATCTTAATTAACTTGTCATTATTAATTCACACGACGCTGGGATTGGTTAGGTGATTGTGATGACCTAATCGATAGTTTGTGAGCTACAGTAACTACCCTGTTGGGTCGTTAAGAGGTGTTATAACACAGACACACACCCACGCACACACACACACACCCACGCACACACACACACACACGCGCACACACGAGGTAAATGAATTAAGTTCTATAACCCTCAACTGGACCCCTGAACCTCCGAAACCCGAACCCACAACCCCGAACCCTTTGATGAAGCAATGGGACCGTAATTTTAAGTAATGACACCTAATGGTTCTGATACTTTAAGATACTTAAATAAGTTTTAGGAGTTACTATCTACTTACAGCAAATTGTACTGAAATTTACTTTAATTTGGTCTGCTAACTGGTGTTAAGTGAAGCTGTGTGGTGGTGTAAGGTGGTATAAGTGGTACTGGTATAGCGTGGTGGAAGTGGTAATGGTTTAATATAGTATAAGTGGTGGTGTATATGATATAAATGGTAGTGGTGTAGTATGGTATTGTAGTGTGGTATAAGTGGTAGTGTAGTGTGGCCACACGTATAAGTGGTAATGTAGTGTGGCCACACGTATAAATGGTAATATAGTGTGGCCACAAGTATAAGTGGTAATGTAGTGTGGCCGCAAGCATAAGTGGTAATGTAGTGTGGCCACAAGTATAAGTGGTAATGTAGTGTGGCCGCAAGCATAAGTGGTAATGTAGTGTGGCCACAAGTATAAGTGGTAATGTAGTGTGGCCGCAAGCATAAGTGGTAATGTGGCGTGGCCACAAGTATGAGAATATTTAATGTAGTGTGTATAAGCATAAGTGGTAATGTAAGCGTATTACAAGTATAAATGTGTGTGGTGTGGCGCAAGCATAAGTGGTAATGTAGTGTGTGGCCACAAGTATAAGTGAAGTAATGTAGTGTGGCCTGAAGTATAAGTGGTAATGTGGTGTGGCCTACAAGTATAGTAGTAATGTAGTGTGGCCATAAGCAAGTGTGTGTAGTGTGGCCACAAGTATAAATGTCAATGTAGTGTGGCCACAAGTATATAAGTGAGAAGTAATGTAGTGTGGCCACAAGTGTAAGTGTAATGTAGTGTGGCCACAAGTATAAGTGGTAATGTAGTGTGGCCGCAAGCATAAGTGGTAATGTAGTGTGGCCACAAGTATAAGTGGTAATGTAGTGTGGCCGCAAGCATAAGTGGTAATGTAGTGTGGCCACAAGTATAAGTGGTAATGTAGTGTGGCCACAAGTATAAGTGGTAATGTAGTGTGGCCACAAGTATAAGTGGTAATGTAGTGTGGCCACAAGTATAAGTGGTAATGTAGTGTGGCCACAAGTATA